GATGAATTTATTTTTATTAATTGCAAGTGTATATATGTATGTACCTACCTATCTATTAGAAAATTATGTATGTAGTAATCTCTAACTTGTTATGTTCTCTTATCATGTTTTCTAAAATGATAAACTGAAAAAAATCTACCTAACAGTAATAAAATAAAGAATAAAGAAATTTACCTGCATCCAAATAAGTTTGTTTTATTTAATTTTTTATTTTTTTTTCTATAAGAATTTCTGATTAACTTGCCGCCGATCTTTTATAAATGCCATAACTAGAAAGAGCTCAACTCCACGCCATGTAGGCATGCAACTCGCGAGAAGAGCCATCGATCGTATCTTTATATCGAGGCGGGCCTCATTCCAAAATTTGCCAAAATTTATGGAATTCCGCTGAGCATAAAGAAAATGTAAAAATCGCTGATCTTTGCCTAAAAATGTATCACATATTAGACAAGCTTTCCAGAATAAAACCTCTTCGTTTCCTTTAATCTCAAGTGGGCCATCTACTACACCTGCGCGCCATCTGGTACTGTCGCATTTGCTTTGAGCTCCTTTCAGCTTAAACCCAGTAGCTTCGCCTCTCGATCGATTTTTCTTCTCCAAGTTTCGCGAGATCTTCTGGAAGGCCTGCCTCAGCCTATTAGTGGATTCCATTCCAAGACCTTCTTTGCAATACCGGCTTCTTCTTTGCACAAAGTCTAGCCTATCCACTTCCATTTCTGTCTCACAATCCACCAGATGTAAAGTGGGGCGCGATGTTAGTTTTTCTGAGCAACTTCTTAGTTGAGATTGTTCTAGGCCAAAAAGTTCGGAGTATCGTTCTAAGACATCTGTTTACGAAAACTTATAGGCACCTAGTTATTGCAGTAGTGACTTTCCAGGTGGAACAGTCATACAGCAGTATCGAGTGCACATTGGATTTGAAAAGCTGGCTCTGGTTTAACTTATTTGGCGATCTATGTTTTCGTCGACGCTGCCGCTGGGGTTAACGTTGCTGTCAGTGTATGTGAAAATCCCCACAGTCTCAAGAGTTTGCTCAGAAACTAATACGTTACCACAACTCTTCGATGGCATACTTTGAGCCTTGGTTTTATTTAATTCTTCTCTATGTAGCGCATTGCCCATTAGACAGGGCAGAAAAGACGAAGCGCCACAAAAGCGTAGTCAATGTGCTGCAGTTAACTGGACATGGCCCACTGAAGTCCACAGTCGGGAAGTGGCCCCCTGTCAGCATCCAGCACATCCCCAGTAACGAAAAGAAAGAGAAAAGGTTAGACTATGTAACCTTGTCAAACGAAGCTGTAAGCTTCGAAAGTCTCAGATAGCTTTCTTTGGTGGAGTAGATGAAAAACCACAAACGGATTTTTAGCTTATGAAGATAAAACGACCGATTTTTGTCTCGTTGAGCAATTTGGAACCGGATATTTGTGAAGATTTTATTGGATTCGTTCTCGTTGATGACGGTTTTTTGGTAAGGCCGTAGAAAATTTCATATTTATTAGATATCGGTGTTAATTATTATTTTTTTGTTTTTTTAGTGCTTCAAAGTAAATGGCGGCCTATGGTTAAATCTTAAACATAATGCATTCGTTTTTAGCGAGTTTTAGTCTTTGTACACTCGTAAAGGCGCAAAACAGCGCAGACACATGGACGATGTCCAACAAAGAGAGAATGCTTCGAGCACTTTCGAGGGCATTGCTCTACGTAAGATCTGTGGCCCTGTTCGGGCGGTTAAATGTCGCCGAACCAGTTAGAATTACGAACAGTACGAGTTTTATAAAGACATGAGCATAGTATATAAATAAATAAGTAAATAATGACGCTCTGTTGAAAAAATACTTCAAATCGTCAACGAATGGAAGCTCACCACCCATGAATGCAAAGGACCTTTTCGTAACGGAAAGTAAACAGTTGCGGTGGAAAATAGTAAGTAAGTAGCCTTCATCATTTCTGAATTGCTTTGGATTCATTCCTGATCATAAAGACTAAATACTTTGCCTCTGGAATGGCTCCCACTAGCTTCCATTATAGCTACATGCTCTCATGGGATGGTGGGTAAGCCCGGGAACTGGAGGAAGGGAGCAGTGAAACTTTTCACTGATGTATTAAACTTGAAGGTGGAGGGGTCTTCTGCTGGGGGGCTCGACATAAAACGGGTGCCCCCTTAGGAGGTTGGTCCTAATGTCAGCTCAGATCTCGCAGTTGGCGGGCGAGCTGACGGGCCACTGTGCGATTGGTTTTCTCGCGGTAAGGTTAGTTATCTACCCTCGTTCGGATGATGATGACGACGTGGAATTCCCACTAACCCTGAAGAGCTTTCGGGTATTGAAATAATCTGTAAAAAAAAAAAACATTTTTTGTGTCAATGAAAGTGTATTTAATTAAGAGATAATTGCAGCCACACATTAGTTTTACATCAGTTTTCAATGCAGCGTAATCATAGTCTACAAATACATTGGCATGGCCTGGATATTCTAAGTAAAGTCCAAACTTGGCATCATAATTTTCTTTTGACGGAGTTTTACCAATTTTTCGCCGGAGAAGGCACTTTTTTCGGTTTCACCTCCATTAAACCAAAAAAACCAAAATGTGAACCATTTATTTATTTGCTAAACTTTTTTGTTTTTTTTTAGATATTTTTTAATAAACCCTCATAAATCTTTCCAAAATTCTTCTACGAATAATTTCAGTGTTTAAAATTGAAACATCGTTGAGATTCTAGGAGGTTTTGGAACATCGCTTGTAATTTGTTCCCAAGGAGTGCCCATTTTTGTGGCAAAAATTAATTATGGCCAAACAAGTAGATTGTTTAACAGACCATCTCTTTTTTATTGATTGGAATACGATTTAGCACATTTTTGCAAAAAAAAAAACTTAACCCTTGAC